TTTGGGGGGGGCGGGCTTGTCGATCCCTTTTATGTCCACGTAAAATCATAATACTTTGGCCTGAATTCAAATTTTATTGAAAACCTTTGAAAGGCTTAAAAAAAAAGGAATTTGGCGAAACGGTGGAAAAATCTGGGATTTTTCGATTTCATTATTTTGACGAGAGCCTGCTTTCACCACAATACAAGCAAGAGTAAACAACTGGTTGAATGATCTCTTCCTCTCCTCCCCCCCCACCCCCACCTACAGTGGCTCCTCCGCCCCTCCTGGACAAGAAAGAAGAATGGGCTAGCTGGAAAAGGAGCAAAGTAGTGATGTTTTAATAACCCAATTCGTCTTACAAATACCTCTCAAGCTGTTTGCTACTTTGTATCTTAAAATATTGCAGTTTCTATAAACATTGACAACTTACCGATAATTAAGAAATCAATAAGTAGCTTTATGACTTTCTGGAAAATAATGTACAGAAAGACAAGACGTGCTGGGGTATTTTTAAAGAATGGAAAGACATGTTATTTTCAACCAGTTTATCCTTCAAAAAGAATCCAACCCATTTTCTTTCTGTGTCCATTTATCACAGTTTCATACTAAGAAAATGTAAGTGTTGATTTCAAAAATATATATAAAAACCAACCAAAACACCTCCATCAATAACAACATCAATAAATACAAGAAAAGTTGTGAAAATGGCTGGTCAAAATTTGTGTCGGCCTTCTTTGAAGAAGCTGCATTTTGATGTCTGATGGTCCTTGTTGGGTGACCGCCCTTAGATGTATGGTGGTCCTTGTTGGGTGACCGCCCTTAGATGTATGATGGTCCTTGTTGGTTGACCGCCCTTTGATGTATGGTGGTCCTTGTTGGGTGACCGTCCTTTCATGTCTGATGGTCAATGCGGCGGGCGTCTGTGATGTGAACAATGGAGCCGTGTCAAAGCAAGGGCAGACAAATACCCCTCTTTAGCGGGACGCTTGACTCCACTATAAAGGGGAAGGGGTCTGAAAATTCCTTTAGTTCATCATCTCGCTCTCGCAGTGACAGGTTGGATACGTCTTGCATTTTCCTCTAAAGAATTTCTCGACAACTCGGAAGATATCTAGCATGGCTTGTCTCAAGTTTCCCGATGTCACCGTCATTCGTGATGGAGACTTTCTGGAGAATGTCAACATAAAGTTTGTGCGTGTCCTTGCCCAGAAGAAGAATTTTCAAGTTCTGGAAGCTTCCATGAAGAACGACGACTCCATTAGTAAGGCAATCAAGAAGATCCCTTACCTGGACAGTAAAGGACGACATCGAGATTTAAAGGACAGCACCGAGGAGTTGACCATCATGCACAACGTTCAGCACCCGCACCTCATGAAGATGGACTGGGTGGTCACGTGTGACAGCTTCCTGGCTATCTGTATGCCTCTGTGTTCTCAGGGATCTTTGGATGGATTGCGTCACTCTCTCCAACGGGACCAAGTGGAACGGGTTTTCGTGCAAACCGCCTGTGCCCTGAGATATCTCCACGTCCAGCGCTGTGTACACGGGGACGTGAAGCCAGCCAACATCTTCCTAGACGTCTCCGACAATGCCAACCTCGGGGACTTTGGTTGTTCTCGGATCTTACCTGATGGAAAAAACACAGTGAGTCGCTGGAGAGGAACTCTGGATTACCTCTTGAACCTGAGTTTTTCCTTGGCTGCAAAGTCGACCCTTTTCTAGTAAGTTTTTCTTTTTTCTTTTTTTTTTCATTTCCATCTTGATTTGATTTTGCAGTTTGAAAAGTTGGTCGTACACAGGTTAGAAATTAGTGTGTAGCACACAGAAAGGGTTTGTGTTTGTTCTTTCAGAGAAATGTCACTTCTATCCTTACTCTTTCCACTTTTGTCTAGTTCTTAGCTGTCAATGTGACCTTGTTTAGATTACACAAGAGAGATATCTTTTGTAGCATCATAGCGTTATCTATTGCCTCAATGTTTATGACAATTGACATTAATGTAACGTGAGTCCGATGTGTTAATGTGATGTGTGTCCGATGCCTAATGTTCCCCGCCATTTTCTTTCTCTTTTTTTTTCAGATGGACGCATACGCACTGGGAGCCACACTGTGGTCACTGGTTTTCCGACTCGAACCAGCAGACCTGGATCTACTGGACTCCGTGAGGAATGCTTCTCTGCCAGAAATGTACAGGTAAGACAGCTATAGGTTGTTTCCTCTGCTACTGCTAATGTCACACTTAACTAAATTGTATCATATATTATTATGATTGTTATGACGCAGTAGAATGGTTACCAGCATAGTCGATCTTGTCGAATGTTTTTGTTGTGAAAGTATTAATTGTATTGAAACGTTGATGAAGTTTTGTGCAGATACGGGGCATAAATAAACAAAAACCATTTGTGAGGCAGCGTAGTGGAATCAGGCTCTCGTCCGTTTTTGGACATGTAGAGTTATTGGTATCATCTTAAAGCTTGTTCACTTGTCTTTATTTCAATGGAAACAGTATCTGTTTATCTTGAATACAAGTCGAGATATTTGCAAAAGAAGGAGGTGGGGGTCACCTGTTTTCAGAGGTAAAATTAGTGACAAAATGGCCGCCAAAGTTTAGTTGTTTCCTTAGCTTAAGAGTCCGTGGTAACTGAACAGTTACATTTTTTGTGCCTTTGATCAACGTTTTTCAGAAAAACCACACAGAAATGAGTTTTTTAATGAGCATGAAAGGTGTTGAGCCAAAACCCCCCCAAAAATTGATACAAATTCATGAACCTGCGGAAAAATGCAAGTTTTTTCATTTTGATTATTTTGACGAGAGCCTGATTCCACCACGCTGCCTCACATATATCTTTGACAGCATTTACTTTCATATACTGTAATATTTTGTATTTTACTATTTCTTTCGTGACACAACTAATCTTAGATGCTATAAATAGAACTGGTGATTTCCTCCTTGATAAATTATTCTGTCTAACTGTTACCATCTTTCGTCGCTTGGCATACCGTTATAAACCACGTGATATTTAATCTGTAAAGCATTTTAAAGGCATAATATCATTTATTTTTACTAATATGTAATTTGTCAAAACTTTTCTAACCTCCATCTGTTTTTTTTTCCCTTCACAGAAAAGTTCTGCATGGACATTTGCGCAGAGATCCTCAGAAGCGACTGTCTGTTTCCGGCCTCTTGGAGTTCTTGTCTACTCGCGAGAAGCTCAGGGGAATTATGGAGAGTTTGTGAGAAACACGGACCTTTGGTTGTCGCAACATTTTTCTTTTTATTAACTAACTTAATACTAATTTTTCTTTCTTATGATCTTATGAACAAATATAGCGCGATCCAATTCTTAGCCTTTTTTCATCTTAATTTTTTAAATAACATTTCTTTGGCACCTTTTGGAGTTTAACATTGATAGCAATAACATTATTTTTTTAAAGATCAACCAAGGGCACTAATAAATTTCCATAAACTTATTAACTAACACTCGATACAAAGAAACCAATATTTACTAAATATACTCCACAAACTAACAAACGCTAAATTAAATTAAATTAAAAACAGACTATAAACTTATTCAGAAAGGAGCACTTAGTAATGAACATTCACTTTAACATAACAATATTAACTACTCGTTATTAATTATAAAACCATAACTGAGTAATGCTAATTATAAAAAAACCAGCTAACCAATTCTAAAACACTATCTAACCATCATTACATCTTATCTAACAAAATCCTGACATAAAACAATTACTGACTCCATCAACAAAGGACAAACCTGCGACAACTACTAACTAATCAGTGCCAACAATTATCTAACACTTATTAACCGCTGACAAACCGAAAGTAAACTCTATCCAACTCTACCATTAACTACTTTAACCACTAACTAACCAACAATAACCACAAACAGACCATCGCCAACTACTAATTATCTAACACTAACTAAATATTCTAAAACTAGTCAACAAAAATTAAGGAACATTTGAGAAA